ATTTTATATTGTAATAACATTTTGCAAGATTACTGTTTTTTTCTGTATTTTTGATCGAATAAATGCAGGCTTGATGAGCAGAAGAGACTTCTTTAAAAACATTACAAGTCTTACTGATCCCAAACGTTTGAGCGGTCGTGTATATGTGACAGCTGAGTGTGTGTTTGACAGTGAATGTGTGGTGTGTTCTGTCAGTATCTCGACGGAGCGGCATCGAGCGGAGGTGCGCAGAGCTGTGAATGACGAGCGCCTGACCACCATCGCTTATCAGTGAGTCTCACCGCTGTAGTCCGCTGAAGCCGTGCTAGTGCTTTAGTGAAGCCACGCTGAGCTGTAATAAAGGCCGTGGTGTTGCTCGTGTGTCCTGCAGCATGTCGGGGCCCAACAGCTCGGCGGAGTGGTCCATCGAGGGCCGGCGGCTGGTTCCTCTCATGCCCAGACTGGTTCCTCAGACGGCCTTCACTGTGATGGCCAACGCAGTAGCAAACGCGACCGCGCACCAGAACGCCTCGCTGCTGCTGCCCGCCGAGACCGCCAACAAAGAAGGTACAGAGACCCTCCAAATTATTTTAAATTAGCTTTTATTTTGTTTTCATGTTAATTTTAGTCTTACGTTTTGGTAATTTTGTTATGTGCTTTTTCAGTTTTTATTAATATTATTATTATTATTATTATTATTATTATTATTATTATATGTTTCTGTTTAGCTTTAATTTATAATAATTTCCATTTTAGTTGTAGCAATTTTAGTATTTCAGCTTAAACTTATTTATTTCAGTTTTTATCTATTTATATTTGACTTGGTTAAACTTTATATTAAGCATCCTTAACTGCTACTATTTGTATTAGTTATTATATACATACATACATGTGTTGTAAGTGTACATTACATACAAATCCTTGCACTTAATTTAAAAATAATAAAATATAAAGAAAGTGACCTTTTATTTTATTTCAGCTACCGAGTTTTTTTAAATAGTTTTATTTATCAATAACAACATATTATTACTATTGCTATTTATTTATTTATTTATTTTTTTTATGTATATCTTGTGTCTGTGTAATCTGATTTGCGGTTAATATAAATATTAATAAAGACTTTTTTTGTTAACAATAACAACATATTTTTATCTGTTATTACTACTATTTTATTATTTTTTGTTTATAATTAAATTTTTAGCTAATGATAGCAACATACTGTTAGTATTGTTATTGCTTATTTTATTATTATTTTTATATATTGTGTCTGTATAATGTATGATTTGTTGTTAATATAAGTTTTTAAAAAAGTTAAACAAAAACAAAAGTAACACAATAAAATTGGACAGAAGTTACAAAAACTGAAGTTACGTTTTTGTAAACGATAACAACATTATTATCATTAATTATGTATTTGTATCTTATTGTATAATTTGTGGTTAAGTTAAAAAAAGTTAATTTATTATTATTATTATTTTTAAATTTTTTTTTGAATGTGTTGTGTCTGTGTAGTCTGTTATATGTTTATTATTTTATTTTTTGTTGCTGCTGGCTGCTGTCTCTCTCTTCCTCACCGTGTGTGTGTGTGTGTGTGTGTGTGTGTGTGTGTGTTCTCGTTCTCGCCATCTCTCAGGTGTGAGCTGCTCCGATGAGGACGAGAAACCCCGTAAGAGGCGGAGAACCAACTCGTCTAGCTCCTCCCCCATGCTGCTGAAGGAGGTGCCTAAAGTGGCCACGCCCATTCCCAAAACCATCACGCTTCCGGTGAGCGGCAGCCCCAAGATGAGCAACCTGATGCAGAGCATCGCCAACTCGCTGCCGCCGCACATGTCACCGGTGAAGATCACCTTCACCAAACCCTCCACCCAGACCACCAACAGCACCACGCAGAAGGTCAGGCGCACTTCCTTCCTGTCCTGTCACATTCCCACAATCCTGCGCTTGTTTCTTGTCATTAAGAGGCTTTACAAAGAGCTGAAGAGTAATATTCTCTGAAGAGAGAAGAGGTTTTGAGTGTTTGTCTTTATGTGTGTGATTGTGGGGGCGGGGCTATCTTTGTCTGACCAATGAAAGACAGGGGGGTGTGTTCAGGATCCCGTGTTAGTTGATTAAATACATATTTGAATTAAATTAGAAACAGCATAATGAAATGGCATTCTTTGTTGCGCAAGGGTTAATGTAAAAAAATATTAATGTGTTAATGTTACAGTGGAAATATTCACTACTGTTGAAAAGTTGTTTTTTTTTTTTTAAGAAATTAATGTTTTATTCATCAAGGATGCATTAAATTGATCTAAAGTGACAGTAAAGACATTTAAAATGTTTCAAATAAATGCTGTTCTTTTGAACTTTCCATTCATCTGTGAATCCTGAAAAATAAAATGCATCACAGTTTCCACAAAAATATTGTGCAGCACGACTGTTAACATTGATAATAATCAGAAATGTTTCTTGAGCAGTAAATCAGTATATTAGAATGATTTCTGAAGATCATGTGACACTGAAGACTGGAGTAATGATGCTGAAAATACAGCTTTGATCACAGAAATAAATTACAGTTTAACAGACATTCACATAGAAAACAGCTGTTTGAAATTGTTATAATATTTCACTATTTTACTGTATTTTTGATCAGCCTTGGTGAGCAGAAGAGACTTTGACATCAAGATCCAACCACCAATGCTTGAATGTTCCTTCAGAGCAAATAAACACTCTAATGACGTACGAATCACTGAATCGTGTTTGAGTGATTCATTGAGTCGACTCTGTGCTGCAGGTAATAATCGTGACGACGTCTCCCAGCTCCAACTTCGTGCCCAACATCTTGTCCAGGTCGCACAACTACGCGGCCGTGTCGAAGCTGGTGTCGAGCGCCGCGTTCAACGCGTCCAGCCAGAAGCAGACCATGGTGCTCTCAGCCGGCTCCGCCGCGGCCCTGGGACCCAGTCCTGTCGCCGTGACGACCATGGTGTCCTCCACACCTTCAGTGGTGATGTCCACCATCGCACAGGGTGAGTGTGTGTGTGAACAGACCATGGTGATCTCAGCCGGCTCCGCCGTGGCCCCGGGGCCCAGTCCTGTCGCCGTGACGACCATGGTGTCCTCCACACCTTCAGTGGTGATGTCCACCATCGCACAGGGTGAGTGAGTGTGTGTGTGAGTGTGTGTGTGTGTGTGTGTCGCTGCAGGTTTGTGAGTGAGTGAGTGTGTGTGAGTGTGAGTG